TAGAAGCAATTTGGGCTCCTTGCCAATTTTAAGGAGATTTCTTCCCCATTGCCGAATTTTAGGAATGCTTTTGAGCTTCTTTTAATTGATTTGTGCCATATGTCATTGATGACTTGCCCATTTGTGATGAGTCATATGCCACGTGAAGATTTGTGATGCATCAACTGTATGCAACGAAATTTACATGTCTACAAGGCCAATAATTTTGAATGTCTTGTAAGATTAATGGACAGTCGATCATTTTTAATTAATTCAATAGATCGGACCATACAAGGTCGATCGTGAAAGCAAAATAATGATAGTCGGGTCTTATTAGCTTCAATTGGCGGCGGGCCAAGTGACAATTGAATTATAGCTTAATTAGCGTTAACCAAAAACGTCCCAAAAATTATATGAGTATGCTTATGAAGCGAGGATGCCAATACATGGCATCGGGTCGAAAAAAAAAATACATAAAAGGACACAACCCAGCACACTTGGGTTGGCTGCAAAGTCACAAATCAAGTCCCTGCAGCTGTTGGGCCTCGGGAGCATGGTTGTTGGTTGACACGGGACAAACCCAGCTATCGCTGGTTTCTAAAAAGCAAGCCAAATCTGGAAAAGTCCAGCAATGGTTGCTGGTTTTTAGAACAGACCACGGGTCGTGAAGCCCATGTATTAGGGACCCAAGCGCAGGCCTAGTCCAATTTTAGCACAAAGCCCAAAGGGCTGCCATGTCGCATACCCAAGCTTCAGGCTTGGTACAACACGTCGTTGGCTCGGCGTGGCTTGAAGTCGCGGCTCAACCATGCAAAAAAAAAAAAAAAAAAAAATCCCTGATTTTTTTTTTTTTTTTACTTTTTTGGCACTAGGGTTTGAAAAACCCTAATTGCTTTTAATTTATTTTGATGCTTTGACTCACAAATTCCACATAGCATAATTGTGTATTGCATGAACAAATATATATATATATATATTGACAAAATATGCAATATATATATAATTGAAAGGAAAATATAAATATAGGGATTCATGCATTATGGGGAATGTTTTCATACTTCATGGTCATTTCAAATATCTTAATTTATTTTAAAAGAACCTGATTGACAGAAAACAACTGAGCCTTAAAATTTGTAGATCTTTCTCGGAAAGCCGGAATTGCATCTTCAATGCGTTGTATCACGTTCAACAAAAAACAAAAATTAAATTGAATCAATAGCATGTGGATTAATTCAATAAATTAATCATAAAGAGAATGATTAAAATGTAATACTCCCCTGATTGAAGAATAAACTCTCTTTAGCGCAATGTCAAGAGCGTGCTGATAACGTGTTGTAAGCCTAATTTACTGAACTATAATAAGGAGAGAGAGAGGGGGTGTGGCACAGTAGAGAGAAAGAGAGCAATGTGCAATTGTGAGGTGTTCTATTCCACCCCATTATGTCTTTATTTATAATAGTAGGAAAAGTTAATTTCTTACCCTAATATGATTACAACTCTAATAGGATAATATATAGTCTAAGAGATATTGTAAAATCTCATAATGATATCCTAGATATGTTAGGATTTACAAAATCACATTCCTAATCTAGTAGGACTGCAACAATAATTGATCATTCTTAAAACACAAAAATATTTTTTTTTAAAAGCACAACAATCCTAAATTGATATGCCCCTGTTCCTTCTTTTACATTTTTTCGTGTTTTCTACAGTCGTCGTTGTCCATCCTAGCCTTCAATTTTTCATATCTATAAATTATACATAGTATTAAAAAATTGGCAAATCTATGCGCAGAAAACTTCAATTCATTACGTAGGGTGACTTAAATAAGCAATCAATCTTGATATCGAATATGTATCAAAATGAAACAATTTTCAATAGTCAATTAATTTTGATATTTATAGCTTCTATCCTATATAAAAACTGAAGTGGCAGATTGCTATTGCATAAGCTTTTAATGTAAACCAAATGCCTTAAAGAGGGACAGGCATCAGAATTTACAGAAGTACCGATGCAAATTGCAATAGATGTTTTTACCAATGGAAGTCAACAAAAAACCCATGAAAGTCAACAAATAATACCAAATAAGCGTCGTATATTACTATAAACCGAGGTACTGGGTTGTTATTGGCAACGGAGAAAAACCGACGCTTTTTCTCTGTAGGGAACGCAGCAGAGTTTCACCATTCCTAAAGGCCATTTTTAGTGTACTATTTTTTAGTTTAGTGATAAATCTCTTTTTTCAATGGTTGAAGAGATTTCAATTGAAAAAACAATAGTTGCATCAAGACCTAAACAACAAACTTACCAGCTTTCTCTCTCTAGTGAGAGTCTGTCTCTCTTTTTGGGAATTTTTCTCACCCGTTCGGGTCTAGCCTCCAAATTTGAGCAGAACCAGTGACGTTGACCCTAGCTTTGGCCAAGGTCAGTCACCGTCCTCTCCTCTCTTTCCTTCTTGTCTTTTTTTTTTCTTACTTTTACTATTTTTTCGCCTTAGTTGTTATACTAATATGTCTTATTTCTCCTTCCCGGACAGTATCTATCCTCTGTGTTCCTCCATATTCCGATTTTCAGCTATACAACCCACTGAAATTGTGTGTAGAACTCCGGTGGTTTCACCGGCTCAGGTGGCCTTTATCGGCAGTGTCGTTCGTGGATCTCCACATACTTCATCTCAATAGTTAGCTTCTCTCGTTTGGTTTTCGGTTATCCTTACTTTATGGCTGTGCTCAGGAAGCAAATTGGAGTTGGATGTGGCATTTGGTGAGGTATTGCTTGGTTGTAAAAGAGGAATTGGACGGCTTGGGGCGATCTCTGGCGGCGAAAGAGACGGTAGAAGTTTCTAGGTTCCGTATTCGTGTTTACAGTTTGGGCCTAATTGTATCTTAGCTCTTGTAGTGTGTCGTTCTGCTGTGAATCGATTTTTTGATGTTAATATGTTTAGCTTGGGCCTTGTCAGTTTGTAAAAATTTTTATTTTGTAAGATAAAGTACTTTTGACCTAAAAATGAAAAAAATGAAAAAGAGATTTCAATTGCAAATCCTCCTTCATGCTTATAAAAAAAACTGTCTCAAATTCAATTTCGCATTAATCACAAAAAGATAATTTCATCATAAATTTTAGTTGTCAAATCTTCAACTTATTACGATCATGAGGACAACAATGCACGCATTCTACAATCTGTACGTGACCAATATTATCTTTTGCGTCCTTTTCAATTTGCCAACATCTTTCATTCCCATGTTTCCTCAATCAACCATGTGCTGCAAATTTTTTTTACTTGTTAACAAATCCACAAGTATCTAAATTCTGCCTAATTTGCCATCGTGAAACCTTGCTGCCTAAACTCTCAAACTATCACAGAGTCGTCATATAATGTGTTGTGACAACAAAGCTAGGCAAATAGAGTTGTTTAATTGCCATTGCAATTTGGTTTTTTTTTTGGAATTGGTGTTGTTTGTTTCTCGGGAAACTTAGCTGGCTCATTGTTTGAAGCATGTGGGAATTTGGAGACGTTTTGTCTACCGACTATGTTGAGTACAAAGAAAAACATCAACTTCAAATAATTGAGCAATTTCAACCTCACTTCTTTTTTAATATAGGAAGTATCATACCACATATCTTTGAATGCATCCGTGGGAGTAACATATTTTGGTCGCCGTATCATGTGATGCAGCAACGTATTTTTGGTCACTGTATCAAACAGTATATCAAAATAGAGCTAGTAGGTCCAATAAATGTATCCGTGGGAGTTCAAACTCAAGTTGGGGTCCCAAACCTTTGATTACTTTCTACTAGACCAACCCCTTAGGTTAATTTTAACTTGGTTTGAAAAACAAATACTTGTCAATTATCTTCAAATGTGCGTCATCAAAAATTACTTTTGAAAGGCTGCTTAGATAATGAAATTTTGATTAGGTATTCTACATATTTATAAAACCTTGATCTCAATTGCTCGGAAAAACGAACGTACATTCTAATGCTTTCTAATGATATGTTTACTTCCCGAGAATGAAAATGCAAAAAATGTAGCATGTATGAGATAAATGCTTTGCTTACTAATGCACTGCGACTGATCAAACAAGGGTTTCTCAAGTTGAAACCATTCACAATTTTGACAACGTATCATTTTTTTATAGAAGTGATAGAATTTCATTACCACAAATAACTAATTACAGACCAATTACAAGGATGTCAGATGGGTACATATGCTTCAATGATCAATTTCTTGATCTGGAGGAAATTAGCACAAAATGAAAATAATTTAAAATTCCTAATGGCCACCCCCACAAACCACACCAAGAAATTAATGGTTCTTATTATAAAATTTATACGATTAAAATACGTTATTTATAAATGGAAGAATGAGCTCAACAATTTTCTTTACATCACCTAATAACAAAGATTAGATAAGACAAGGGTCAGACTCAAAAACATAAAAAAATAAAAAATAAAAAGATAACTATTGATTAAATGCCCACTTCACATGCATCAATGGTCAAAAACCGTCCAAGAATCAAGATCGCTTAGGCTCCTGAGCGGTGCATGTTTGGGTTTGCTTGTGCAAGGGTTAAAAAGTGCTTTTTGACAGTCAAAACACTACTAATTGTGTTTGGCAAATTTATAGTGTTTTTGGTTCTTGTAAGCGTTTTTTGAAAATACATATGTCAAATGTTTTTTCAAGAGCAATTGAATTTTCAACAAAAATTCACACATTTAAAACAATTATCTTTTAACAAAAAACGCTTATAAATAAAATTTTCTTTTAAAATATACCCACTTCGCTTGATAAGTGGGTTTTTAAAATTTGAAACCGTGAACAGACTAATTTATTTCTGACACCTCAATGTAAATATATCATCGTATTAGAATAAAAAAATAAAAATTTATAGAGGTGGTGACCACCAGGTCCCCAACCGATCGTGCCACAGCAGGACTCTCTAATATTCCTATTTCAACGCAATTCCGGTATTCTTTTCCAAATTCAATTCGCTGTCATTCTCTTCTGCTTCATCCAGCCTATCAAAATCCCCCCTCCCCCTCCCCTCTTTTGTCCTATATAATACCCACCAACCCCAATTCTACCCATCACATTCCCTCTCAGACCTTTCGTCAACAATGAAACGACAATCCTCAAGATCTTCTGGGGCCATGGCCTCATTGCCCTGCATGGTCCTTCTCCTTCTCCTCCCCCTTGCCGCCGCCATGGACATGTCCATCGTCGACTACAACGAGAAGCATGGCATGCCCGCCTCGTCGGACCCAACCGAGACGGAGGTCAAGGCCCTCTACGAATCCTGGCTCGTCAAGCACGCCAAAAACTACAACGCCTTGGGGGAGAAGGAGCGGAGGTTCGACATTTTTAAGGATAATCTCAGGTTCATTGACGAGCACAATAAGCAGAGCCGGACTTACAAGGTGGGTCTGAACCGGTTCGCCGATCTGACCAACGAGGAGTACCGGTCTGTTTACTTGGGTGCCAAGGTGGACCGGCGCCGGCGGTCCGGGCTTTCTGGGTCGAGGAAGAGCGACCGGTACGCGTTCCGGGCCGGCGATAAGTTGCCGGAGTCGGTCGATTGGAGAGCCGAGGGCGCTGTTCCTGCCGTGAAGGATCAGGGCCAATGCGGTGAGCTTTTGATTTTCGTTTAGTTGTTTTTATGTTGTGCATTTATTCGTTTTTTTCGTTTTTTTGTTGGCGCTGTTTCTTTGGAGGTATTTTGTTTTCCGGGAAATATCAACATTGTTTTCCTGGAAAATATCAATATGTTGGCCAAAGATCCTTAATTTATTTATTTTCTTCTGGATTTATGATATGTGTGAGGCTGGTTTATGTTTGTTCTTCTGGAAGAAAAAGTTGGAAAGTGCTTTCTCCAAAAGATGGTTTTGTTATATAAGTGATTGTAGCATGTTGAGTGTTGATATCTGAATTATTTGTCATGCATTGCGAATGTATTATCCGAGAGTTAGTTTTTCGTTTAGATATCTGTCTCCGCCATCCTTGTTTCATCTCCGGCTAGAAAATGTGTGAACGTGAATTTTGTCATGCCCTGCATACATATACTATTAGAGAGTTAAATGATCGGTCAATTTTTCATTTAGATATCTGCCTCGGACATTTTGTTCAATCCCCAGCTATAAATATGCTGCTGCTGCTGCTGCATTTTGTTTCTTACTAAAAATTTTATGTGCTTCGGATTGAAGGGAGTTGCTGGGCGTTCTCAACGGTTGGCGCGGTGGAAGGCATAAACAAGATTGTGACCGGTGAGCTGATCTCTTTATCAGAGCAAGAACTAGTGGATTGTGACAGATCATACAACCAGGGATGCAATGGAGGTCTGATGGACTATGCCTTCCAATTCATCATCACCAATGGCGGTATTGATACTGACGCAGATTACCCTTACCATGCTCGAGATGGTTCATGTGATCCTAACAGAGTATGCATCCAAGTCAACCTCTACTGGCTATCGAGTATGAGTGACATTTTATATCATTGTGATAATGTTTCTTTTTCTCTTTTGCAGAAAAATGCTCGGGTTGTGTCCATTGATGGGTATGAAGATGTTCCAGAAAATGATGAGAAGTCGTTGAAGAAGGCTGTGGCACACCAACCAGTTAGTGTTGCCATTGAAGCTGGTGGCAGGGAATTCCAACTCTACCAATCGGTAATGCTTCTATCTTATTCCATATCATCTACATTATATTTTGTAACTGTATGCATGTGTGGGAAATTGATAGAGTTCTCTTGCTAGACGGTTTGGCATGCTCTGTTGTTGAGCTGTGAATATTAATCATTTGATTTCAGAATCATGTTCGTCCTAATTTATAGTCTGACAACGTTGAAATTATCTGTCCATTCAGGGTGTCTTCACTGGACGTTGTGGAACAGATCTAGACCATGGTGTGGTTACTGTTGGTTATGGCACCGAAAATGGTGTAGACTACTGGATCGTGAGGAACTCATGGGGTCCCAACTGGGGCGAGGCTGGTTACATCAAGTTGGAACGTAATGTGGCTAGCATCAATACCGGCAAATGTGGTATTGCCATTGAGGCCTCATACCCTACTAAAAAGGGTCAGAACCCCCCAAGACCTCCCCCATCACCACCATCTCCTCCTGTGAAGCCCCCTACCGTGTGCGATGAGTACTACTCATGCCCCATGGGAACTACATGCTGCTGCGCCTATGAGTATGGCAACTACTGCTTTGGATGGGGATGCTGCCCTCTAGAGTCTGCAACCTGCTGTGATGACCATTACAGCTGCTGCCCTCACGAGTACCCCGTATGCGACCTTGATGCGGGAACTTGCCGATTGGTAATGAATCATACTCCCATCTCTCTTTCCACGTTAATTTTTCTACGTTGATCCTTTTCGTCTTTGCTGACAACGTGTTCATTGAAACAGAGCAAGGACAATCCATTGAGCGTGAAAGCGCTAAAGCGAACTCCTGCTAGAAGCAGCCGGCGTTTCCGCTTCCCAAGTGCTTGAGGATCCAAACGGTCAAATTGGGTGTTCAAGGAAGAAAGTGAACCGAGTTTGCTCCCAAGAAAATATGCATATGTCGCCAAGGAAGAAATGGTTTCCTGTTCATTGTAATAGATTTATATATATTTTTACTTGGAATTCAATTCTTTTTTTCAGTACTTTGGATGATTGTTGTATATAAATTATGGAACCAAGTCAAAACAAATGGGAATCTAAGCTCTTATTTAATCTCAGAACGAGTCGGTTGCTTGTTTCTTGTTGCTTGTTGCTGCTCTCTATAATCCATTAATTTCACTAGTTTGGGATTGTTGTGTTTTTTTTAATAAATTGCTTCTGCCGTGCTTTGAGAATAATCAGTAGCAAAATAAAGCAGTTGAGTGTTTTTATATTTAAAAGTGTTGTGAGTATGAAAAGAAGTGTAAAAACATTGTCTGGAGTGATAAATAATGTCATTATTTAAAATTAATGAGATTATAACAAAAATTAAAAATATTTTCAAAGGCGCAATTCAACTTTTTATTAAAGTAGTTTTTAAAAGCAACCTCCAAACTATTGTTAATTTGGAGGCTTTTGCTTTTAAAATAAACAGTATATTTTATTTTTATCAAACACTTTTTAAATGTTTAATTTTAAATTGAAGCGCGTTGAGCAATAGCCTTAACTCTTTTTTTTTTTTTTGGAAGAACAATAGCCTTAACTCTTAAGTATGGCTTTTGAGTGGGCTGTTATCGTAGGGATTTTGAATGGGAGGACAAGGTTGAAGCTAGAAAACCCCTAATATAAAAGCATTTCATCCACCTTTTTGTAATTAACAATTTGATAGGAGCATATTTATGCAAATTTGTTAGCTTGTTTCTTTGTATTTAGTAAGTTAGTTTCTATTTATTATAGTGTTTTAAGCTATTTTCGTGTGTTTGTAGGTTTAAATGACAAAGTTGGCAAGAAAGTGCAATTTGGTGCTATTTGGAGCAGTTTTGGGCTTGGAATGGATTGCACATGCATGGAGCAAGATGGATGGACGAATTTGAAGATCAAGGGAGGCTAGGAATGTGATTAACATTTGAAAGAATTAAATTGAAGACTTGAAAGATAAGGAATCAGCTACAAAGAAGAAATATTATCCAAATTACCTTATCTTATCCAAACCTTATCTTATCTTATCATATCCTAATCTTTTCCTACCTTAATTCCAGCTTCAAAGAGGACTCATTTTCACATTAAATCAACTAAATATCAGGTTCTAGAAGCCCTATTTTCGTGCCCTAAGTTTATGTCACATGTAACATTTCTAGAAGTTCTACAATCTGCCACAAGGACCATTCGTTGTCCTCCTTGGAATCTGATTGAAAGTGTCATTGTTCTTTAGTGATTTGGAGTCCTAATTCCTCTCATTTTCAGCCCAATTTCGTGTCTTCCCTTCACCGTATAAATACATGATGCCGCAACACTCATAAACCACCACCCTCTACCACAATTTCACACCACACCTCAAGAGCCTAAATTCACACAAATCCCCATTGTGCGCAGCGAGGAAGGAAGGAGGAGCCACCTGGAGTGTTTTTAGGTGTATTCTATCTTTTGTTTTTAATGTTTAAGTTTAATTATCTTTGTTTTGCGAACATGAGGAGCCAAATTTGTTTGAGCTAGAGGAGACTTTGAAACCATGATTATATTTGCAATATGAATTGATTACTTTCAGTTGTAATTTCATAAATCGTGAATACAATTTACTTAACTGTTTGATTAAGAACTTATTCTTGTGTGTTGATTAAGAGGGCCCGCTTAGTTTGCATGCATGAATTTGATGCTAGAATATAAGGGAGTTTCACCTAATCATTATGAACTTATATTCATAAGTAGTGGAGGTTGCTAGTCACAATCGTGTTAAGTAAATTCCTGGCAGGAGTATCATGTTGTTCATAGTTACGAATGCCTTGTCAATGCTTATGATTTTCACAAAGCTTAATGATCTTTGATTGTATCTCTATTATGTTGTTCATGTAGGGAACTATTGAAGAATAATTTGGTTGACGATGCGTATTCCATCCAATTCAATGACTTAAGGAAAATATGAGAGTTAATTAATGCTGTTCACGGTTAAGCTGGGGTGTTAAGGTTCATGGTTTATTGGAAAAGCAACTGGAAATCAATTTGTATGCAAGTGTGTCATGTGTGGAGAAGGACCCTTTAGCTAGCTTATCACCCATAGTTTTCCCTAATTTCGTCTAAAGTTATTTAAGTCTTTAAATCTGTTTGTTGTTACCTTAATTTCATCCAAAATCCAATCCCCCTTTACTTGGTTGTGTCTTTTAGTTAGAATCTATCCAAATTTATGTTTTTAAGTGTTTTGAGTCAAAGTTAAGTTAGAATTCGTCCAAATCACCCTTTAGAGTCTAGTTTGAGTCTATTTGTTGTTTGTGCTGTTTTGAGTCTTTTTAGTTTGTTTTGAGTCATATAAGTCTAGTTAAGTGTTTTTAAGTTTTGTTTTGTGTTTTTAAGTCAGTTTAGAGTAGATTAGCATCTCTTCTAATCCCTGGCCTAAAATGATCCCTACTTTCATATACTATAATCATAGGGTTTTAATTTGAGTGTTAGAATATTTCACATCACAATTAACCTACAAAGATTTCAAAGGGCATTTGTTTTATGGCCAACGCTCATACATATAATTACCAACTAGCTATAGTGCATAGTCGGAGATTCGAATTTGGGACTTCTTTCAATATTGGACAAAGAAGTGCCTACTAATGCATAGACGACAATACACAAAAAGGGAAAATACGAATAGTTCATGCTACATACAAAGTGTTGTACGGAAAACTTGGTATAATTAAAATACGTGAGCCTAAAAAAAGATACCATTTTTCAACAATACTTGTGCGTATCTTATTGGCATTTGTATCCACTGATCGATAACATTTGGCTCCTTACATGAAAATAGCTATTCTTCAACATCATATTTTGATTGTTAAGGCTGCGGTGCTTCGAACTTCAAAGACGTACTTGTTGAAGGAGACTAGAAGCCTATCATCAATATTATCAATGGTTGGTGTTCTCTTTCCTAGAGGTTGAAGACTATAATTGGAGACACAATATTTTTGGCTCGAAGATATAATTCAATTTATTGCCAACATGTCTACGTATAGACAAACTTCCTCGTAGATGTTATTACTGATTTAGGACATTCTATTAATGGGCTTCACTTATGCAACCAGTCTATTCTCCCCTCTCTTTTTCTTCCAAAGATAAGAATTTCATTATATTCGAATTGAAAGGTTTACATCAGAAGCCAAAGTATTGAACAACCACTTTAACTCAAAACAATCCCAAACATAAAGGTCCCCCTCACATAAGGCGAAAGAGGCCCCTAGATGTGCTACTGTATTATAGATACAAGGAACAAAAATAAAATCCACTGACCTTAGCCACTGCTTCACATATTGGATATCAAGAAGAAGAGCTTTAATTGCAACATTTGGTTGAACCTTGCCATTAATCATATCCACAAGATCCTTTAGAATTTAATTCAATATGAACTACATCAAATTCCATATCAACCTAAGCCAACAACAGCACCCTCACTGCTTTCGCCTCCGCTGTAACATCTCACATTGCCCAGGGGTGAGGATCCTGTAAGCCTTATATGTATATTCTCATTTCTACCTAGCACGAGGCCTTTTGGGAGCTCACTAGCTTCGGGTTCCATCGGAACTCCGAAGTTAAGTGAGTTCTCGTGAGAGCAATCCCATGATGGGTGACCTACTGGGAAGTTCTCGTGTGAGTTTCTAGAAACAAAACCGTGAGGGCATGGTCAGGGCCCAAAGCGGAAATATCGTGCTACAGTGGAGTCGAACTCTGAATGTGATGGGGGCTCGGGCTGGGATGTGAAATCCACCATTAAACTAAAAGCACATGGGAAATTAATATGCTTTTATATTTGATGTATTTGGTGTTATAATTGGGTATTTAGACTCTGATGTTCCTCCCCTATTTTATTCTTATTTAAAAAAAAAAAACAACGTGACATCTCACCGGACAAAAGTCATAATTAGAACCCATTGCCATGATGCATAGTTAATTTGTGATTTATACGAATGACTAAACGGTATCCAAATTAGATAGATTTTTCTAAAAATAATCGTTAGCTGATAATAAAGAGAACGAACGATTTTTGTTATAAAATTTGTACAATAAAAATAACATGCTTTCATCGAAGAATGAATAGATCATTGCATATAAGAAGTCAAAAACCATGATCAGAATAAAAAAGAGAAATTGAATTCTGATTACAGAGTACTCCAATGTTTACTAAATATTGGGAAATAAAATAAAAATTAGTGGAACCCATACAAATTTTGGAATTCAATTCCTCATCTGGGAGAAATTGAACTTCGTAGATATAGATGGTACTGGAAAAGCTGCCCCCGCTTTACTATGGGTTTTGAAACCGCAATCCACAACAGATATGATTCATTTCTACAAAAAGATGCACAAAATCTGGATAACAACACCTAGCAATGAATCATACTTAAAAGGCAACAGCAACACAATCGCATTATCAATTACATCAATCTAGAAAATACACTTTTTACTTTTGCAAATCCCACAAAACCACAAATCAACATAGCTATCTCCAAATAATTCAAAAACTAAATAGGTAGTTGAACCGACATGGTAAAATAAGTATTTCAGTTTGCATTTACATTCTATTTACTTTATATCAACAATCCGTGTGCAACCAAAAGGACGGATTTCAAAGTTTCAGTTAATGAAAATTGTGATCTCAAAATATAATGTCTTTGCATAAGAAACATAAATAGCATGCAATTTACATATATTTTATGTGTGCATGCAACATGACAAAATAGACGACTTGCAAGCTCTACTATCGCCTCAAGGATTGCAATAAAAAAACAACCTAAACAATTTAACAGGTTCTTATGGTGCCTGCAATAGGTGACTTTAAAAGTGGAATGCCAAGAAAAAATACACGTATCTAATACTCTTCACCGAACAAACTCTTAAATGCTGAAACGTTTGTCCCAAGGCGAAAAAAGCTAAACGGAGTTGAACTTTTTCAGATCTTCTTCTTCATTGTCCGATTAACCATACCTATAATTAAAGTGTTCTTGTTTGCCTGGGATTTGTGATTAAAATCGGCAAAGCACCTCTTTATTATTTTTTTTGGTGTAAAACCAAGAAAATAAAAGCTAACAAATCAAGAGACAAAGCCATTCCAATTCCAAAAGAAACC